ATTCAGTCGACTGAAATTGGACAGATAGCATGTTGTAGAACCAGATCTGTGTCTTCACACATGCGTGATTAATCTAAGTATTGATGTTTGCATTAGACTGAGGCAAACCAATGGATTGGCAAACCAAGGGGGAGTTGACCAGGTCATTTGAAATGACCGGTCTCGAGCGGCCACCAGATGGGCTGTACCATGAGTCTTTTAATTACCGTGGTGTCATTAAGAGAACAGTAATCAATGCAGGGTCAAAGTCCCTCATCCATCCAAACTAGACAGAGGAAACTTGATTCAGCTTGGGAAGTGTTAGAGACTGTTTGGAATGGTTCACCTCTTGATATTAAGCGGTACTGGCTAGTTACATTAAAAATAATAATAATATGCACTATGCATACTAATTGAGTTCACTTTGTGTTGAACATCACTTAAGGTCAGGGACAGATTTGGGGGTGTGACAAGGGTTAAGGGAGCGCTAGGGTGTAGTAGATGGGTCAATGGTGTAATTAGTCTGTTTAAATGAGTAATTAGTAAAACAGTGTACATGTAATTACATGATTTAAATGACATGATGATGCAGAGCCGGCCCAAGGCATAAGCGAAACTAAGCGGCTGCTTAGGGCCCCGTGGCCACCAGGGGGCCCGCAAGAGTGCTTGAAATTATTGTGTGACTTTCGTTTTAGTTTGTTAAGTTGTGGATTTGTGGTGGGACAAAATATATGCCCATTTATAGTGTTATTTCTGACCGCGATACATACCCAGGCGCCAAGATATTTACCTAAATTTACAAAAGATCTGATTTAATTAATCAGTTTTCAACACCGACTGCAGCAGATAACCGCTTTAGCTACAGTACACCCAGCCGCCACCAGGTGGCGCTTCCCGTAATGGCGGATCATTAGATATACACCAGCGTCATGTAAACCACTGAGAGATGAGCCATATGGAAATGGTGACTATCTCAGGCATACAGACACTTTCTTCTGTCCAAGCTAGGCCAATGTATTTGTGTGCGTTTCAGACATCCAGCTCCCCCGAATTTGCCACTAGTTTCTTTCTTACAGACACGCTTTCACTTCACTATGACGCTCGCGCGTGCCCGCGGCCAGTGCAACTTCTTATGTGCTCAAACTTTTGAACTCCGCCAAAATATATAAAGATATCAATAGGACATGAACATTAAATTAGAAGGGCCTTGCATTTATTTGACTCTTACTGACCTTGTCAAAGTCTTGTAGATGGTATTTTGGCAAAAAAATAAATAAATTGGGGAAATAAAATACTTAGATGAGTAAATAACTAATGTTCTCCACTGCTGAAAACATACGTGCTTAGAGGAGTCTGTGCTCACCTCTCAGAGCATTCGGATCAGTTGAAAAAATAGTGGGGATACATATTTTTTATTAAAAATAAACCAGGGCTAAGCATAAAATGTTTCCATGTTTACATAAAATTAGTTGTAATAAGTGTTTTAAGTTTACAGAAAATTAGAAAGCAATAAATTACTATTTTGGCAGTTTTTTCTTAAATGCATATTCCACTATTAACAGATTTTGCTGCTGTGATAGAGATGTGCTCTCTTCAGTCATAAACTCCTCTCTGCACATCAGCATTTTTAAGCTTGTTTGACAGATGTGCACTTGTTTTACATTACTGCAATTATATAAATGCGTGTTTATAAAAGAAATTCATCATACATTTTTGATGCATTTTCCCCCTTCATTTACCAAAATTGTGATATATTGTGGCTGGTTTTCTTGTGATCTATCAATATATCGCAGAATCACTGATATCGTGATTGAAGCAGCAGTGCCTGGAACAGCAGCAAAATGCTTTTTCATGAACTTGGTGATTAAAAAAATAAACTTCTGATTTATACAATTGACAGTTGGTAAATACACTGCAAAAATGATTTTCTTTCTTATAGTTTTTGTGTGATTTTTAGTCCAAATATCTAAAAATTCTTAAACTAATAAACATTTTTTAGAAAGATTTTTAGTCAAAATTATGTGAATTTTCATTTAAAAAAAAGCTCAATAATCTGCCAATTAGGGTAAATAAATAAAAAGATTGTTTCAGGTTTTAAATAAGATTATTTTACTTATCTCATTGGCAGATTAATTTGTTTAACAAAAAAAATTCACTTAATTTAGAATTATTTCTGAAAACTGAAAATTTTTGTACATATTTATTAATTTGATTGATATGCGAGTATAGAAAATGCTTCCTGATTTAGTTTGATTTTAATTTAAATAGATGTTTTAAGTTATTTGAACTACAAAATACAATATGAATTTTTTTCAGTATTAACATTTATATCCAATTAAAAAAATGTATCTTTATTGTTACTATGTTTGACTGTTTGGCAGCGTCTTAAAGTATGTTATTGGCTACTTCCAGCTGCTTTTGTTTCTGCCAGCCCATATTAATGTTTTGTGTCTAATTATTTAGATTTGTGGCAAATAGTCATATAAAAAGTTGGATCAATAGGAAGTTGTTTTTGCAAAATAATATTTAGAATTGTCTTAAAACATATATTTTATGATGTAAGCAACACAGCTACAGCGAATAAAATCGATAATGTGTGTTTTAAATTTATAGTGTGTGAATTATCAAGGATTGATGATAATTTGTCATATTGTTTGCACCAAAGGGGCCCCAAATACAATCCTGCTTAGGGCCCCCTGAAGGCTTGGGCCGGCCCTGGAGACGCGATCCAGCGGTACATTCTTGATAACTGTCTGACGTGCACTGCTCTCTGGAGCTCAGAGAAGCGCATGACAGTGTGTGTGGCTGTGTCTGATCACGTGATGTGCGTTTTCAGTGGACGGAGGGCTGTTCAGAAAAGCTAGGTAAAACAGTGTGGATGTGGATCATTTTAGTTTTTTAAACGTCATTTTAATACTAAGACGTATTAGTGTAAACGGGGCCTAAGGGCCTACTCACACTATGCTATCCGAACCGTGCCCAGAGAAGTGTGAGTGCTCTGAATGTCATGTGAGTGCGGGCCGTCAGGGGAGACAGGAGGGGGACAAGCGTGCTTTGGCCCGGTTCAAGGCAACTATATATATATATATATATATATATATATATATATATATATATATATATATATATATATATATATAGATAGATAGATAGATAGATAGATAGATAGATAGATAGATAGATAGATAGATAGATAGATAGATAGATAGATAGATAGATAGATAGATAGATAGATAGATAGATATGAAAAAGTCTTATGCCACCAAAGCTGTTGTATGTCAGTTTAATATATAATTAACATAATTTAATATATAATAATTTATTAACGGCGAGGCATGTACCCCATGAATGAATAATTTATCAACAAATGTTAGCAAATGAGACCTTAAGGTGTTACTAATTTTACTGATTAACCAAGAAAACTATATCATCAGCCATGCAAGTAGTTTACAGTAACCAAAATTTATTTAAAGAGGGACATAAACTCCTACTTACCACAGCTTTTCGAGCCAGCACAACAGGGAGACCATAAGCTGACACCACGATACCTGTGGTTAAAAAGTATGCAAGTTCCCGGCATGCATTGCTTGACTCAGTGTCATCCGCATGCCGCCTGGCTATTAGATTTGGTATAGGTGATAAGATGTAGAATATCAGAACAAACATGGGCCAATACTGTCTGTAGATAGATAGAAGCACACAAAGGTTCTCTTGAATTTGACATCAGACAACAAAAAATAAAGTTTGCAAATAACAGACATACCCAAACTGTTCCAGTGCACATCCCAAAAGGAGAAATGTCAGTCCAAGTGCACCACTAAAGGATAACGAAACAAGAGCTAAATAAAAAGAGAAGAAAGAATGAATTAGGCGTTTCCACTAAAATCTGATGTGTTGCTGCCCTCTTGCAGCCACAGCTCACTACTGCAGAGGTGACGTAGTTAAATAAAAACTATAACGTAAATATTTATTATTTGTGTGACTTTTTTCCCAGTAATAAGATCTTTTTTGTTTGTTTGTTTTTTAGTTAATTACTGAATTAGTGGAGGGAAGAGGCTGATGTCTCTTTTGTAGACACACATAACTTAATAAAGGATAGCTTGTAACGCACCATATTGAAACAATAGAATTTAATCGGTCTGAACTATGTTCAACTACATTTTAACGTTGATGTAAAGTGGCACGAAACAACCAGTACTTATTAAGTATCACCTAAGTTTACACGACTTCAATGTTTAATCGTAAAAGTAAAAAATGATGCAAGAATCAGTGTCGTTTCATTTATTACTATCAAAAGTTGAACTGCTAAGAACAAGTAGTGCACTTTAACCTTACCTTTTATTCCTGCCATCACGTACAAATGCCTTTAGTTTTTCGTCTTTGTGGTAAATGTAGACTGACTTCCTATTTCCTCAAACTACCGACAAACTCTTAAAGGGGCAGCACGACAAAAACCACAAGGTAAATATTAAAATGAAGCGCTCGAAAAACAACAACAAACCACAACTACCACGACAATAATAATAATAATAATAATAATAACATCATTTGGTAGTAGTCATTCTATGACTACCATTTATTATGTGTCTGTAACATAATTTGATGAGCTGCATGAGGCTCAAAAATGTTCTTGTTACATATTACAAAACATAATTAATAAAGAGTAACATTCTTTTAAAAATACTTTTTCATAATAACAAATTTTACGTCCTGCTGATTATAAACACTGCATTTGCACCTAATATTGTCAAATTACTTTTTTCCTCCCAAACTTTATGGATTTCTATGTGTCTATATTGCCATAAGATATATTTTATATATATATATATATATATATATATATATATATATATATATATATATATATATATATATATATATAGACACACAGATATATATAT